CATCGAAAGAATACGTTAAGGCTGACAAAATAAGTGAAAACACGCCAACAGAAAGCTCAACACGGAAACCAATAATGTTTTTCTCTATGACTGATTGAGAAGTGTCACTCTTTTTTTCTCTACTTTTTATCTATTACCAACCAGCATAGAATACTGAAGCTACATAAATTCAGCTTAAAAGTCAAAAATAAAGCTAACTGCTTACAGTTCGACGAGTTTTCTTTTGATATCTTGCTGGTATATCATAATCATTATCTTCCTTTGCGTCATCCAATTCTTCATCTACCTATAAATCATCCAAATTCCCATCAAATTTAACTTTATTATTATTATTATTTATCAGCATCAATGGAGTTTGTAGTACTGGTGTCAATGGGATTTGTAGCACTGGCATCGTTGGAAGAGTAGGTAAAATAGCATTATTTAAGCCGGTCAAAATATCCGCCGACGATTCCTGTAGTTCTACAGCTAAATTAGAAAATAGCCACGCTGACAATGACTTGATTAATCTTTGTTATCAGTATTCTTACCAATATTACTAGCTGTTGTACCTTGAACGCCAACGACACTTGCAAACAATTTTTTGAGCTGCTCTTGAACAGCTGCTTCGATCATCGTCTTCAACAATTTATTATTTTGACCATTTTCATTTTCATTCAACGTCGAGGCGCTTAGTGAACGTTTTAGGTTCGATGAGGTTGTTATCGTGTTAACAAAATTTTCTTTTGAACGTGTATCTTCGACGATAATCATTTGTGGTTCATTTTTTACAGCAGGACCACTGTCAACGTTTCTATTTTTGAATGTACGAAATAGCTGATCAATCGATAAACACGAATTTTCAAGTTCATCATATTCATTTTTCATCATTTTCTGGTCTTTCAAAACCAGGTTGGATTTGACATAACAGTATTTTGTTTGCTTACCTGAGTAGATAGCTCAAAGTCGCTTTCTATACAGACCTTGATTGTTACTGATTCAGCCTTGAGATCGGATGTACAAAAAGTCTTTAGTAACGTGAGGTAAGCTTGGGTCTACTATTCCAAGTCTCGCAGCGATGTCTTTTCTGGGAAAAAATACTGAAAAACTTAGTGGAGATTCAGTTTTACTAAAAATACGGCTTTTCACGCTATTTCTACTAGCATTAAAAAATTCATAACACCTTACGAGGGAACCTTTCGGGGTGAGACACTAACTACTCTTGCTTTCAGAGTTCTATAATGATATTTACTAATCAAACTGAGTATATTCTTAAACTTTGAAGCCATAGGGATAGTTTCTAACGAGGGAACCTTCCAGGATGAGACACTTCGTTTTTTTTTCGTTCATATGCCAATCGATAGGTAATATGGAGGTAGTAAAAAGCCTAAAAAGATTCAGGCCCTTTACAGTTGAAGATCCGATTTTCTGGAAAACCAGTTTTTCAGAAACTTTAAAAAGTAACCAAAACCTTTTCTTAATGATGCATGATTGTAACCCGCACATTTTTGATTAAAATGAGACGCCCCCAGCTCTACACGATCTTTCTTTGCAAAGTTATACAATCTACCAGAAAAGCCCTAAATTAATTTCTTCTTATTTCTGTAGCTTTGAGCGACAATGAACATGCAGGGCTTTTCTTGTAAATTCTATAACTTTGCAAAGAAAGGTCGTGTAGAGCTGGGGGCGTCTCATTTTAATCAAAAATGTGCGGGTTACAATCATGCATCATTAAGAAAAGGTTTTGGTTACTTTTTAAAGTTTCTGAAAAACTGGTTTTCCAGAAAATCGGATCTTCAACTGTAAAGGGCCTGAATCTTTTTAGGCTTTTTACTACCTCCATATTACCTATCGATTGGCATATGAACGAAAAAAAAACGAAGTGTCTCATCCTGGAAGGTTCCCTCGTTAGAAACTATCCCTATGGCTTCAAAGTTTAAGAATATACTCAGTTTGATCAGTAAATATCATTATAGAACTCTGAAAGCAAGAGTAGTTTTTTCGTCCAAAGATTTTCTTAAGAACTCTTCAATATACCGTAGAATCTTCATGAATTTTGTGTACTCTTCAAATCAAGAGAGTAGGATCAGCTATAACATACCATATCCTAAAGTCGAACAATACACAAACCAAGTTATTGTGTGTCAACCTTCAAAAATTCAACATGGTTTTTCAAAGACTTCCTAAACTTACTTTGGAAAATTGTTTTTTTAACTAGTTTTACTTGTGAGGACAGGGTTTTATTAGAGGTCTTCTCTTTCGATGGACAAAATTCTGAGGTCAACCTCACAATTCAGCCTGTTAGCACAGGTTTATTGAAATTTTAAAAAGACAATGGACCATAATTGAATATATGGTATATTGACCCGTTATATCTTAGAAGATTGAATACTTTTTGAAATTATTGTGAGGTTCTTTAAACAAAAAGCACATATACAATGTATTCACATGTTGCATGCAAAACGAAATTCTCTGTTTTGTAATTTAATATCCGCATTTGTACTTAGTCGTGGTCGTCTACGATAAGACAATGATCGCTCACAAGCGGCAGTATTTGATAGTTTTGTTTTATAACGTTTTAAAATACGTTGAATTTCTTGACGGAATATTTTTCCGCTTAAACAGTAAACATAGAAATTGAGTGAACAGTTTGCTAGAATAATGACGGAAACCCAATGAGACAGTACTGCATCAGATGTATACCAGTAGACAATAGTATGTGTCAACGACGAAAAAAAAAATAGACAACTATGTAAAATAAGTACAATATTCATCCATGACGTTTTGGGACCACTGAAAGCATCATTAACTTTAGTTCGTCCGTTGCTCCCCGTTATTGTCATTGACATTGTTGTTGTTGTTATCGTTGGCGATGTTACATATTTGACAATATTTCGACTTGTTGTTGGACGTTCTTTTCTCAGAATATGTTTAAACTGACACGTAGCTTTTGTAATTCGAAGAATAATGCCTATGTTAAATGTCGTTACAGCTATGGAGGGTATCAATTCAGAAAATATACAACGGACGGTATGATAGTTGAAACCGAATGAGACATCTTGAAAATATGCACGCCATTTTGGTGAAATATTTGAATCGAAACTACAGTGACTATGAATTTTTAAATAAAGTTGATTAAAATCGTAGTTTAAACGATTACTGTCAGACAATACTGGAAAGTCACTTGCAATTAGAGTTGTTGATTGATTGCTAATATTGATATTTGTGGCTGTTAAAGGTCTGAAAAATATAAATTAGAAAAGAAAAAATTGTAATTATTGATTTTAACTGGCTTACTTTCCTGACGACAAGGTGATATTGATTGTCTGAGGGATGTAGAAGTAAACGGAGGGTCCTGTTACAATGAGAACAATGATAAATGAAATAAATGTCAAACAATAATATTTATACTTTGTTAACCATGTCCGATTAATTAAAATACTTTGTAAAATATTCCATACATATAAAAATCGTTCATATACCCAAAATACGGTAATCCATGCTGATAATATTCTTAAACATGATGATAAACGATACAGTTTACAATTTAACCACGAATGAGCAACAGTGATTGACATCCATTTTCGCGTTGATGAATTCAATAAAATCGAATAACGAAATACACACAATAAATTTAGTGCGAAACTAGCTACAGCTAAATGAGCATAGGTTGTATGACGAAATCGACGAGAAGAGAAAACAATAAGACCAATGATGTTGCCAATCAGACCTAGTACGAATAATGCAATACACAGACTATCAACCAAAATTAACATTGATCAACTAGAAATAAAAGAACAATGTTGTTCAGCTTAATAGTCTAATCTGACAGAACATTTTTTTGACAATAGGACTCTAATTGACAGATAGAAGCTTGAGTTAATAATATTAAATCATTTTTTTGGTCAAAAAATGCCTAAAATTTATAGAAGTCCTTCTAATACAATCATAAACAAGTCAAAGGCGGGGTGGGGGGGGGGGGGGGCCGTAAAAGTGTAAAAGGGCCCGGGGGGGAATTTTTCGTTATTTT